TAGAAGTGTTGTACAACATACAGCTGCTTAACCAGTGCCATCCAAATAAGACAGGAGCTACCAAAAGCTTCTGATAGGATAAGGTAGGATTAGCCGATGGAGGCATCACTGCACGCTAAAGAAATGAGTCCATATAAAAAGGTGCACATAGTCAAACTCCTTTAAGAAGGGAAGGTTACCTTCCCTTAGGGTGAGTAAGGCCCCACTTTGCTGTTTAGGCTTCCAGGGACATTCATTAATGAGCAAGCAGCTGATAAAAACTTACCTGTCTCTTTAAAACTAGGTGTTTTCCTTTCCAATACTTGAGCATCTGAAGGGCTTGCAGAGTGCTGACAATGTCCACAGGATTCACAGCTGTCTCCTGGCTAATTTCTGAAACAGAAGATCTACTAAGAACCTGGCCAAAATGCAGACTCCCTGATCAAGTCCCCTCCTAAACCCCTCCCCCTTACAGGATATGCAAATGACCTCCAGATGGTTGGAGCATTTGATACTCAACCCAACCTGCTCAGAAAAAGTTTATGAAGCATTCATTTGACTGGTCCAAATAACTACAAAAATAGACATTACAGCAAGAAACCACTCTTGGCCCCTACAGAAATCAAGTTCAAAGACCCATATTCAGTGGCCTCCTGTTAGGTCCAGACAAAACACAGAATGGGGCATTATCTTTGCAGGTTACAAAGCATGAATAGGGCCAAGTGGAAAAGTTAAAATATTCAGTGGAGTTAACATCTTGGGTAACAACCATTCCAGAGTGAAAAACCAACCTTTGATAGAAATCTCTTTGCCTTGGAAATTATGCAGGTAACGAAGAAGCACTTCTTTCCAGTAACTGCGATAGCTTATGAGCCCCAGATCTGAGAGGGGACGTTCTGGGGAGCCAACTTTTTCTTCCACTTTGGAAAGCAAATAACCTGCCAGGGAACAAACACACAGGCTTTTTTTGAGCAACACCATATCCCATCCTAAGAGAAAAGAACAGTGTGCCAATATGGAAGAAGTTGTATGGAAGTACTCCGCAGTACCGATTAGAGTTCAGTCAACTTCATTCATTCAGTGGAATACTATATAGCTGTTGTAGAGTATGCTGCCTTTGTATAAGCAAAAGGGGAAGAATGTGTATTTGCATTTACTATAATAGACACTGAAAATTCTGAAAGACTAATAGAAACTTTAATAGCAATGGTTATCTGTAGGTGTGAGTTGGGAACAGGATACAT